CTAGGGGTATGTGATATGTATCGTCTACAATAATATCGTAATTGTTTAAACGATATGCGATTTGACATTGAGTATATCACAAAAGCACAAGTTCATGCTTTCACTGCGTGATTTATTCTATTAAAATATATTTAGATTTCCCCCTAAATTCAAGATATAGGGGCAAAAATGCCCCAGTTTGACTTTTATCACGTTAAGTGTGATGTTTTTCTCCAAATATCAGCATGATTGCAAATGTGATATTGATTGAACAGCTCAACAAACAAGAAGTTAATATTAAGTGACATTTTAGACACAACAGTTCTTGTTTTTTGTGTGATTCGACAATGAAAATAGTTCTAAATAAAGCCACAGCAGAACTGTTTTGCATCTCTGAGCAACACACGGCGGTGTTTCGTTACTGAATCAATCAGCCGTTTGAACGAATTGTTTGAATGAATGACTCTGAGAGATTTTAGGTTTATATTTAAAGTATATTTTCCCTTTTTTTTTTTTTCCTGTTTTCAACTTAAAAAAAACATCAAAACATTAATTATGCATTTGTAACTGCAGGTTAAATGCATTCATGTCCTGCATTAAACGCTCTGTGTGAATGCATCTAAATGCCACTTCAGATGCAGATTCTGTGCCACCTCTGCATTGCAAACACAAATTTTGTTGATACTGATTTCATTTGATTGGTAACAGCCCTTTAGTGTCTCACTATTTATTTATTTGTGAACAGTCTGTTTATTGAGATGTAACAATATATAACAGTAATACAAAAATATTGTAGTTACATCTTTTTTTACATATGAAAGCAAGGAGAAAAAAAGGGAAGAAGAAAAGTAAAATGGCACAGGTTATTTCAGGTAGTGACATGATATAGGAATTTAAGAGTACAAAACAGTGTCTTACTGTTTGAATTTATTGATTCAATTTAAGAATTTGACAAAAGATGATGCATACATATAATTAGCTTAGAAAAAAACTGGCCTTATTATGGTAAAAATGCTCATAGAAGGTAAAAATCGATTTTAACTACTAGAAAAGTAAATTTCTGTTACTCCTGCAAACGAATTACCGCGCAAAATATGAAGAATATCAAAAGCTTTGGAAGTCAGCTGTCCACGGCAGTCCAAACCTGTCAAAGTACCAGCACAATAAGACGCTCGACAAAATATCGTCCAAATATCATTTTCGACAAAATTCCAGAAAATATTGAGGGTTTTTTTTCCATTATCGCACACACAAATCTGATCCCAGAAAATAACATTTCTAAATGTACTTTTTCCATAATAGTAAGGAAAGGAGTGTAGGGAAAAATCGATTTACTAATGAATACTGATGCTTTCTTTAATGGTTCTTAATCATAATTATTAAACGATATTTTCAATCTGCAGTGTCCTTTATACCAGTGGTTCTCAATTCCGTTCCTGCCACTGCTCTGCGAAAATGTGCAGAGCAGTGGCAGGAACAGAAACTGAACCGAGTGTGTCAAATAAGAGAGATAGCTATCTCTCTTATTTGACACTCGGTTCAATCTCTTATTTGACAGACACACTCGGTTCAGTTTATGGAGCTCTCTCATAATGAGCTGATGATCTGAATCAGGTGTGTTAAATAAGGGAGACATGCAAAATGTGTAGAGCAGTGTGACCCCAGGACCAGGATTTAGAGCCACTGATTTATACCATGAAAAGGTGCACTTGCACTGTGATGAATTTATCAGCCAAGGCCAAAGAGGCAGAGTAACCTTTTTTACGCCATCTTACAAACCAACCAAACAATGCCTTGCACCATGATCTATATTTAGTGGAAATATGTCTATTTACACAAGCATTATCCCATGCTCAATCGTTAATCAATAGCTCTCCTACTCTCCTAGCTCTCCTAAAGATGTGTGCTGAGTGACAATGACAAAGTTTAAGTTTAAAAACAGAAGCCCCAGAGCCGACTCAGAATTTCTGAGAAGATATACTCTGGTACAGCTTTTATATCGATTTTGTGCACCGAATTTAGCATCAACCCACTGCGACCTTCAAAGATTTGTGCTCCTATTCTGTTGAGCATCAGACGGCATCAGAGTGAATCGAAATAGAATTGAATCGTAAAGATTCCCACCACTAATAAAAGTACAGCTTCTGTTTAAGAGGCTGGAACTCAGAATGTGTTTGTGATTTGAATGTTACATTTGGCTTTGCATGTGAGTATTATGGCTAAAGAAATGAGTCAATATTTTCCTCTCTATCAACAGGCTAAAGTGAATAACACCAGCCTTGTCGGTGTTGGTTATACTCAGACTCTGAGGCCAGGTACAGATATGAATTTCCTTTATTATTATTTACACTTGACAATTTAATAGTGAAAGGCATTGATTTCTTTTCTTTTGTATCTCGCAATAGTTTATAGCTGGTAACATCATCTTGTCCACCACACAATATGATTCACTTCAACTTTGGAGACTGATAAAATAGGGTGTTTTAGAAATACTTCATGAATCCTGACCATTTAATAACTTTGTTTTCATGTAGACTTCTGCATTTATATGGTTAGGATGCCGTAAAAGCTGCAGTGATTAAATTTGTGATGGTTTTTCAGGTGTCAAGTTGACCCTGTCGGCCCTGGTTGATGGAAAGGGCATCAATTCGGGTGGCCACAAGCTGGGCTTGGGCCTGGAGCTGGAGGCCTAAACCTGCTCCTGCTTACCATCAGGGACAAGGGAATATCAGAGAAATCTGGCCTTAAATCTAACTCCAACAGCAACCAGCAGGGGGATTCCAGATGGGATGGGATGTGTGCAAAGGCTCATCAAAAGCGATCATGTCATGGTGTTTCTTTTTGTCCCCTCCTGGTCCTAATGCCCTTGTTTGTTTTTCATTTGTAGTTGTTCTCTTATAGACATTCAGCTACAAATTAATTTCTCCATCTCTCTCCAGCACTGCCACAGTAATGATATACTCTCTGGGACGGAGGGCATGTGTGGCTTTCTGTCGTGTTCCCTTCTCAGTTAGCCGGGGGTGGATTTGTGACAAAACTGTCTCTGATTTCATCATTTGTATTGTATCTGATATTCCTTAGTCATCTGAATGCGATTCAAGCAACCACTTAACTCGATATTAAAGGTTATACCTGCTATTATTTAAATACTGTTATACCGTTTTCTTCTTTCCATGCACGCAAGGACAAGCTTAAGCAGTTTATTTTTCCTTCGGCAGCCATCCAGAGTAACCGTTGTACGTGAAGTCTGCCCTCGAACTGAGCAGTTTTTGGGTCGCCTAATTGGGAGATGAACGCTGGTGTTCCTGTGCTGGCATGGCTGGCCTTTCATTTTCGTTTGCAGCACAGACGACTATCCATGGCTCACCGTGATGGCGGAACGGGTCTTGTGGATGTGGTTTGAGTTCAGTACCCTTTGCTCCCCGTGTTGCATTATGACCCTAATTCCCTGACACCATGCATTCACAACACCTGAGAGGTCCTTATGTGTATGTTTGAACTTTTCAATAAACTATTTGAATTCATCTATGATATAGTTTTTGTGGCTTACAAAGCAAATGGCTCCTCATAGCTGAAAAATAAATTATACCCAAAATTCTGCAGAGGAAAAACTGCTTAATGTAAATACTCTTACACAGCTAAATTAACAGGCTTATTCCCATTAAGTGGTAGAAGATAAGCATCTCATGTTTTTCAGTGACAAATTCGGTGAGAAATTCATGTCGTGTGGTTGGGGGGGGGGG